ACCAAGCCTGCGGGCAAAACATCGACAGTCCCTGGGCAGGACTAGCAAAGTTTCCCTTGGCATCTTGTCCTTCCACTTTTCTTACATCCACGTGCCTTGCTTATTAATTTTCAAGATCACTCCAATAACGTGTATCTATTTTAGGGTGTGATTATGATCAGCTCTCCATCAATAACTAGTTTTATTCCATCCGACAAACTGCTGAAAAAAAACCAAAAACTTCAGAAGAAATAACCACTCGTCACTCCACAGGTACATCCTGGTCCTGCTTTGGAGTTGCAGAGAAAATCTTCTTTTTTATATGACCAGATTTACTATGGTTGGTCTTCAAGAACACATCGCTTTGACTGGCAGGGGTCCTTTCTTTAAACTATGACCAGTCTGGTTATGTGTAAAATATAATCCAAGGCTTTCAAACTAAACGTAACTGACAGGCCATCTGTTGCTGGTATCCTGCCTTTCATAATTTTGATTCATCAATCTGTGACTGACTGCAGACAATTTACTAGCCAAGAAGCCCCAAAGGCTTCTGGCGATGCACGGTTCCTTATGACTAGTTCTCGGCCATCTTCTGATACTGACGTACATTTGCTCGGCAATTTTTATTCCGTTTAGCAGATTTAGGTTGGTTAACGTGCCTTTTTTTTTTCTACCGACCAAATTTTCAGCTTACAATCTCTCTGCCGTTTGATATGTGGCAATTATCAACCCTGTCGTATGCTCTTTAAGTTGAGGAGTTCACATATGTACCCTTCAAGTTTGACCAAGGGGGAAACAACACGTCTTTGTGCCTCACGGATTGAATTGCCCATCTGTTTTGTTTCACCAGACTCAGGAAGCAAGACCCTTACAATGACAAAGACAAGTGCTTGTTTCTGACGTGGGCCCCTTCCTGCACAGCTGTTGCTATTTCAGACCCGGATGCTCCTATTGTTCTCGAAACAAGACAATTCACGTTTCCTCGATGTACCATGACGAGCACAAAGGCCACAGCAACAATGCCCTAGTCATTTCCGATCTCTGAACTTTAAAGTGGACGGGAGTTCAAAAATAACGCTCTGAACCTCTTCACAGTCAGTTTGAATTCGTGGAAGAAAGGCTGCTGCGTCAGTTCGGATGGGATCTGTCTTTTTTTTGGCAACGGACAAAGCTAAAGGAAAACTCTGATCAAGTGCACCAAGCAAAACGAGGCAAGGCAGGCAATCTCCTCCTGGTAAGTAACCCTACATGTCAACAAGGCAGCTGCACCGTTCCACAAGGTGAGGCTGCAGTCAGTGCCAACATCTGCTGTCAATCAGCCCATCGGTGTCACAATTTTCCTGGCGATATAATGATGCACGAGCTCAAAGGATGCCAGAAATTGGCCTTCCCCTAAAACTGTTCTCCCATCACAGCGGGCAGTTTCCACACATAATAGTACACTAATTCAAGTTGTCACTCTTGGTGAAATCATTACAAAGTTTCGGAACAAGTTGGGTTTCCACAGAGGCCAAATTTTCTCCACAACAATGGTCTCCGTGTGCTTGGCCATATCATCCACGCAAAGACAAGAAATTGGAGATCTCTCAAAGTGGATCTCCCTTCAATGACAACATCCAATTAATGTAGGAGCAAAATCATGGGTGACTGTACAATACAGTCTCCAATCACTGAAAATGTTGTCATCTGGACTGTGAACAATGGTTTTTCATGGATAAACAAATAACAGTTCATAAGTAAAGGCATACGTATACAACATCATGGTAAAGTAAACATTTTGTTGACTGGAGATGCCTCTTACATGTACACAAACATTAGTTTGTGAAAGTGCCAGATGTTTCTAGCAAGAACATTCCACTGTACTCTTCGGCTGTCATGTAGCCATGGTACAAGCACCGCATTCAAAACTTTTGTGCTCATCACAATGAAATCACACTTTGCTTATGGTTCAAAGAACCATGCTGACTCATGCTCGAATATCATTGCAAATACAAGTACGCTACCTGAGTTATAACCGTTTTATATTATACACAGAGTTGATAGTTGGGTTCCAACATTCTTCGTAAACATGTGCATGTGTTCTTTAACAACCTGAGCCTGGGTGCCTTAGGCACTGGGTTTAAATGGTTGGCCTTATGAGAACTATTCAAAAAGTGACTACGAATGCAGGCCCTGACCAAATGACTTGGCTACGGCTAGCAATAACACACATGCCAATGGAAGTCGCCACCTAGTGGCTGTGGCCATTTCCCATAGACGTGTGTGTTATTTTTAGCCATGGCCAAAGTACTTGGATGCAGCCACAGGCTTACAAATTGTATTCAGGGATGTTGAGTGGTCTGTTACATTTTTGCCTGAAAAGTTTACAAACACGAACATGTCTGGCCCCAGTGTCTTGCAACAAACTTGAGGGACAAAACAGAGCCTGAAAACACGCTACCCCTGCTGGGTATTTACACAAACCAAAATGTGGCAGTAAAACAAATGTGACTCGCTCTGTGAAAATGAGTCACAAGGCCCGGAGCCACTTTTTGAGTTTTACTTTGTATTAGCTTGAGGAATTGAGTTCTTTCTTTTGATGTGTCACTCAGTTTGGCATGATGAAAATGGACGTTGAGTAGATTTTAAAAAGTTGAGGATTCCTACTGCTTAAGCACCGTGCCAGATTCTTCCAAAGGTTTTAACTCAAAAGAGGCTCTGGAGACATGTGACTCACTTTCACAGAGCGGGTCATAAATTGTTATTTGAAATGTTCATAAACAAAGTGTATATGCTAGTATGATAAATCCACTAGGACATTAAGGGATTAAAGTTTCAAAACAATATATTCTATCCGGTCAAACAATGACGATTATCTCAAAACCAAGACACATGCTTGTACGTTTTGGTTTCATTTTCAAAACGGTAAAAATTCACGTCAATCCAGGCATCCATTTCACCTTTAGAAACTGGTCTGCTTTCACAGTGTGTGTTCAGTGACAGATCTGGTTCTGTTAATTCAATGATACGGCAGTCCATAATCAGGAATCGGATGTGTTGGAGTTTATGTTTGTTAGTCACATACGTGTGCCAATTCTCCTACAAAACACAATTTTGAAACCTTTTCTACAAAGGTTTGGCTAATGCAAGTTATGAATTGACAGAGAGAGCGCTTAAAATGACCAACATCTTTTATCTGTTTTCATATTCAGTTTCTCTTGGACAGTTAAAAGGCAAATAAACATTTTTTCTGATTCAAAGTAGAATACAATTCAAAATGTAATGCTGGATGTTCCCAAAGTCATTCAGTTTTTCTGTGGCTAAATCTGAAGTAAAATTTCTGGGGGCACTTTCATAACAACAATTTTAATGTGCTAAAAATATAACACTGAATCTCGTCAACATTCTAGCACGCTTCAATTGCATGCAACTTCCTGGACCAATTCCTAAATATGACCAATGATGAACGGTGTCACTGTTGGGGGGGGGCAAGAGATGACACTTTCCCCAGTGTCAGAGGAACTTCTCTGCTGCGAAGGGAACTATACCATGCAACCGGCGAATGAAAGTCATATGCTCTAAAAGTCAGGCATCCAATTTTTATCTCGATGTTGAAATGTCTACCGCTGGAAAGTTAACAATAAGATCTGAACCTTAAAGTCTTGTGAATTTATCAAAGCCAGGTACCTCAACCATTGGAGTTGGTAGCGGCGTGGTGCTCCAGGATAAAAAGGATTCTACAGGTACCAGTTCATCACTGTGCAGCAAATGTATCATGCTGCCAAACTTTCATGTAAACGCTACAGGCTCTTCTCTAGTCAACAAACGATTTCCTTCCCGGGGTCTTAATTTGATATTTATTCTTCCTAAAATGGTTTTACAAAATTTCAGAACAGATCCAAGTATGAGAACAGGAACAGTGAGTTCTATGCAAGCATGCAAATGACGTTGTGAATTGTCAAGATGCATACTGCAAACAGTCTCCAAAAGGCAAATGGGTCATTCTATCAATTTGGGATCCAATTTTTTCCCTGTTACGTCTGGCATATGATTTTTTTAATGTTTAGAACTCTTTGTTTAATTCCAAGATTGAACATGTACTGCAAATGACCTGCCAGACGAATAAAAATAGTTTGAAATCAATTTCAGTGATACGTCCCTTATCAAACATGTCAGATGGTATACATGTCAGAGGTAACAGGGTCGGAAATGTCATACTTTGGACCCCTTATTTATAGAATAACCCAAATACCAGAAAATACTCAGTCGCATACATGAGAATTTCCAATCAACTATGACTTGCGCTAATATCTGAATGTATTTTCCCCAATGCGAAATTTGGGAATTTGATGTACAGGAATTTTCTTTGGTCCGCCAATGTTGACGAATCAATGGAACTGCACAAAACTGAAAATAACTGAAAAAAAATGGATGCACCAGATTGACGTGACGGGACAATCCAAAGGCAGAGACAAGCAGTGGCATTTTTCAGAATTTGAAAAAGATTAAAGTGAATGGGTAATGCATGTGCATTCCTGACAACTGCAGGCAGAGATCTGTGTACACATTTCAGGGGTTCTTTACTTGCAAACCTAAAAGTCCCAAAATAATCAAGAATATGACCTGACACGAACTGGTCACATATTCGCTAGAGTTGATCGATAAAAACACAGTTTTACTGAACCATAACCTTTATTTTATACTGTTTAATGATTTCCTATGAGTATTTTGAACACGGACCTACCAGTGTGCATGATTTAAGAGGGCATTTTAAACCCAGGGTTCCCAAGAACATAAAAAAGTGCAAGAGCATCCATGACTTCAGACCAACGACAGAGACGCAACATGGCAGTGTGGTCACCTTCACGGGGATTCAGTCTTGGAGAACACAGCCGTTTCACAATAGTGCGGCGCCAAGAGTTTGCAACACGTTGGCCAATCACAGCGTGCGAAATCTGTCGACCAAATGTGCGTCTGGAAAAGGGTGGACAGATTTCGTGCGTTGTGATTGGTCAACGCGTTGCACACTCTTGGTGGCGCACTCTTGTGAATCGCCCGTACTCCAAATTTTTTTTCCCCGTCACGTCTTTTCTCCTGTCCTTTTTCTGGGATTCTGGGAACCCTGGCAACCTTTCCTGCATTTCTGTTACAACTTGATCACGGGCTTCGCAATTTAAGTTTAGTTGAGTGTTCACACTCCAGTGGCCGCTCCAATCTCATCAGCCGATCCTACTGAACTGATTTATGACACAGAAATTAGATGAGAACAGCATGAGTTTTGTGTTGTCACTTGTTATTAGCAGTGACAGTTGGCGTTGGTTTTTTGAAATTGTTTAAAACTGCTTATCATTGGGATGGCCACCGAGTTTAAGAACTGTAAATTTAGTTTACTGTGACGTCATCTTGGAGGTTGAAGAATGTTCTCCCAAGTAAGTCACTGTGGTTCATCACGTTCTCATCTTCTGGAATTCGTCATCTGGCAACTCTTGGTTTCAGTTTGACAGTGCCCATACTGTGTGTGTGCGTGTGTGGCCTTCTTGGAGTTAAAAAATGGCTCTTAAAGTGGCTTGTGGGCCATCTGGAAAGCTCAATTTGGTTGGGTGGAGAGTTGGCTTCCAGAATGGCTGGCATGCTGGCAGACGCAACTGGCCGGCATTTCTAAGCTGGCTTGTCAGTATTCTAGGCTTACCAGCTGTCTTGTAAGGTGGCTTGTTAGCTGACCTGTCCGCTGTCTTGCAGTCAGCTGATAACTCCCTGGCATGCTGGGCTTGTACACTGGCTTATAAACTGGCTCGTCAGCTGGCATGTAAGGTGGCTTGTAAGCTGACCTGTGCAGTGTCTTGCAGTCAGCTGATAATTCCCTGGTACATGTACGTGTATGCTGGGCTTGTACAGTGGCCTTATAAACTGGCTTGTCAGCTGGCTTGTAACCTGGCATGCAAGCTGGCTTGTAACCTGGCATGCAAGCTGGCTTGTAACCTGGCATGCAAGCTGGCTTGTAACCTGGCATGTAAGCTGGCTTGTAAAGTGGTCTACAAATTAACTTTAAACTGGCTACCAATACACTGAAATAAATGCTTGTGAACACAATGCATTCTGACACTCTACATTGTGTTTAAACTTTCAAGGTAACATTTGTAACAAATTCTAGCCCGCTGGTAGCAATTCAGAGCCATGTCTCTGACCAGCTGCCCACTACAAGTAGGTATCTTTGTGCTCTTGCCAGCTTGCTTGCTGTCGTTGTGTTGCCTTGCTTGCTTCGGAATGACGTATCTCCCCTGAAGTCTACCAAATTTATGACGGTTGTTCAAGTGCGGATCAATGAGCCAACAGCTTGGCCAATAAGTTCCAACGTTCAGACACACACCACACAACTGCATATAGCCAGTACTGGGCATTCGCATGACGTTTAAGGCATTGCAGCCTGTAGTCAGTACTAGCACCAGCCTAACATGATCCAGTGAGTTATTATCCGCCAGAAGGTACAGGCACCAGACCCTTCGCTCTTCTGTGGTCTCAAATGGCTATGGATGTGGATCCAATGCTTCCATAACATACTAGCATAGTTCAAAGACATAGCCGCAACATTCAGATTCCAAGACTCAATGATATCCACTCTCCTTTGCTTGAGGACTACCATCCAACACAATTCCACTGCCCCAAATGTTAACATAACTAACACAACCACCAATAACTCTTACCGGTGCATTAACTTTAAATAGCTAAACTGCTATGCAAAGCTTAATGCAGTTTCCTCTCTCACTTTTGAGGACGGGACTTTTAAATGCAATCCCAGCATGCCGATTACTTTAAAATCAAAGCGCCACTGTTTTAACACGTCCATGTGAGTCAAAGCCAGTGAAAACTCTGACACAATTTCTTTGCTGTTGGCAAAATTACAATTAAAATAAGTATAGGGATATACACAACTTAAGAAGGCAACAAATGGATGATACAAATTCACAGGCAGAAGATCAGTGCCCAAATACCGTTGTGTTGATTGATGCTTGGGTGCTCTAGATGGCAATGCCCTCTGTAATTTGTCTCCTGCAGCCTGTAGACAGTCTGTTGCTGGGTGTGCTTGTAGAGAGCGCTCCCCTTGTGAAAATGCTCTGCTGGCTCCTGTGCAACATTGTTGTTCTGAAGTCAGCAATTCTGGTGGCAAGAATCCTTCTGGTGGGCATGGACTCCCAGCAGTTTAGTCAGGAACCAGACTGACATTGATATGGGCCAAGTCAACCATGTGCCTGTAAACATGAAAATAATGTAAAGATTTTTCTAAAGCAGAGATTATGTCAACAAGTGAAGTCTTCTGGGTAGCTAAACCAAAACAGACAGTTGCATGGAGCCCGATGGGCAGTCAATCAGTCCGTCAGTCTGTCCGTCAGTCTGTCCGTCAGTCAGACAAATGGCCAGTCCACAAGCAAGGCAACATGTCAAGCAGCCAATCAGTCAGCATACCTACACGGCCGAGGTCGATCAGTCAGTTAGGTAATGCCTTCATCAATTATCAGCTTAAAGAAAAACCAACCAGCTACAGTCGACTCTTGACATTACAAAATCCGTGAGACTTAGTGGAAATGTCCGTTGTATCCGAAATTTCTTGTTGGCGGAACGCAGTGCTTCGGTGTGTTGTATGAATAGATCCTATTGAGTATAGTGCCATGTACACAGCACATTCACATGTACTGTACATGTATACACATGAACTTGGTTGATGTTAAGTGTGCGGGTGACAAGCCTCGTGCTGCGGCAGGAAATTTTGTGGAAAAGCTCGCTTTGAGTACGAGCAGTACAACCTCAAGTTAAATTCATGAACACAGAAAATGCAAACAAAGATATGAGATCCATTTCTGTGAATGTACTTGCAGAAATGTTGAAAGGGCAGTGATATTTTTGACTTGCAATTGTAGGGCTGCGTTCATATAGGATGTAGTGCAACGTACGGCACTATTTTGGCTGAGTTACGTACATAGGCTGGTAGCCGCATTTCCACCATGCCTTCTTTGGCAATGGTTTGGCGCAGTGGGAACCAGGGCAGCATTGCTTCAATTGCATTGCGCACGTGTTTTCACCAGTGCGATTTAGTAAACGCTTGCTATAAATGGGTCGTCAACAATGGTTTTTCAGGCACAAAAACCTTTTGTGGTAACAGGAATTTCGTACAATGCGATTTTACTGTCACATGTTTTCTTCCAACAGAAATGTGCACATAGCCGGATTTTGTTGGAGTCGATTTCCGAATAACGAGAGTCACTTTATGTCTGCTAACCATTCAAACCACACCTTACCTGTGGAACTTTGCCTGGAAAACCTGGGCATCTTCCGGCCGGCAGAACTTAGCGGTTGCCCTCCTCTGGTTTGGCAGAATTTCAACATTCTGCAGGCATTTGGAGAGTGTAAAATCATGATTATTCAGTAATGATGGTAGGCACGTGTATATGAAGGACCGACAATATGAGCTAGTTGCTGTAAGATGTTAAGAATCAGGGCATTATTAAAACATGGACATTGATTTCAGTTTGCAAGAAGCAAGCTGCATATATGCAATAAGAGTGCAGGAGTTAATTTAACTAGGGAAAAGAAACTAATTGTAAGCACAACTGTATCAAAATGGAGTCAGAACTACCAGGTACCTGTGGACTAAAAGTGGAACGTATCATATGAAAAAACGAGATGTGCAAATAAGGTGAAAGGGTAAAATAATAGTTTCTCAGCGACAGAATTTAAGAAAGAATGATCATCTAAGCCAAATGTCCTGGCTATGGCAAACAATAACACATGTATATATGGGAAACTACAGGTTGGTGACTGCAGCCAGTTAATATATTGGTGTGCGTTGGTACGAGCCACAGCCACAACTTTTGGCTGCAGCCTTACCTCGATGGGGCCACACAACTGCAGCATCTTCACCAAGCTGTTCCTGGTCGTCGACGCAGACAGCCCATCAATCAGGATACCTGTAGGCCCCTGGGCGGCCTGGTTGCTGTCTTCCAGTGAAGCCTGCTTGACGATCCTCTGAGGCGGTGGTTGCGAGCAAGCTGGCTGGCCCTGGGCCGCCTGCACCACCCTCTTCTGCTGCTGTTGTCGCAGCTGTTGTTGCTGCTGCGGCGTGAGCTGCTGGACCACCGTCCTCTTCTTGGTGGGCTGTTCAGGTTGGTTTACAGAGGCTTGGTTTGGGCCGGCCTGCAGGGTTCGCTTCTGGGGGGATCGCTGGGCTTGCAGCCCCGGCTGGTTCTGGACAACTCTCCGCTGGGTGTCTGCTGTGACCCGCTGGGTCTGAGCATTCCCTTGTCGGGGAATCCCAATACGCTCTTTGACCGATCTGATCCCAAAAGAGAAGTGGAATTTGCTTCTGAAACTTCATTTCTAGGGTAATATCTACAGTGGAATATTTCATTTTCCATGAGGCAAACTGGAGACAAAGGTAAAATGCACTGGTTCCTGTCAGCAATGACAATGCCACGCACTGCTATGACCCTTCATGTGCAATATCAGTACATGTGAACCAGCTAACAACTCTCACAGACTGGCTCAAACTTCCTCCATTAAAAGGTTGGCATAGAAAAGGACAGGAGAACTACGGCTAAATCTTCGGTCTTGGCCGATTGCAGAAACGTGGACACATGCTGGTAACAGACATGGCCGTAAATCTGGACATCTGTTCCAGTTATGGCCTTTGTCTCATCGTTAACCCTAACCCCCTACGGTGTACATTGTACGTAAAATCATATTGAAATTGGAGGACTTAGGACTGTTTGGGGTAGAAGCTGGTTCATACTTGATGCGAAAGCAAACTCAAAATTGCGACGTCATATCATATATTCAAGCTGCCAATTGCTGCCAATTTGCAAAAGTTGAATATATTTCAACTCCAGAGACTTTTGCTGCAAATTTTGTGACATCAAATTTGTTTCTTTGTCATATTCACCTAAAAGATGAATTGGCTTTCAGATAAAACTTCATCTTCGTGTTCAGTACGTACTTATTCCGCTATAAAAATAGAGAAACAGTGTATATATAGTGACATTCATCCTACCTCTTCTGTGGCCGAACTTGCCCTTGTGGTGGCATGGTTGCTCCAGGACTCTGTGGGCGTGGTCCTTGAGGGCATGACCCTTGAGGGTGTGGCCCTTGCAGTCGTGGTCCTTGTGGACGCGGCCCCTGTGGCCGTACTGCCCGTGGATGTGGACCCTGTGGGCCTGGCCCCCGTGGGTGTGGTCCTTGTGGGCCTGGCCCCTGTGGGTGTGGTCCTTGTGGGCCTCGTCCCTGTGGGTGTGGCGCCTGTGGATGTGGTGCCTGTGGGTGTGGTCCCTGGGGTCTCGGCCCTGGCATGTGCATTCTTTGGCCTACAGCTTGTGGCCTCACCTGGCCTCTTCCTCGTCCCCGTGCACGTGGGGATTGTGGCCGAGGGACCGCCCCCTGGGGGTTGGGGCCAGCCGACTGCAGCCGCATCTGCTGTTGCTGTGGTGCCTGGAACCTCTGCTGTTGTTGCGGTTGAAACTGTGCCCTGATGGGCTGGCCACGCCCTCTACCGCGCCCCATAGGCTGAAATTTTCAGATCACGTCTCCATGAAATTGCAACTTTCAAAGTGCGCGAAATATTGAGCAGATGACTTGTGAGACCAAAAACTTAGCACCCATTTGAACGGTGTGAACTAAGCCGCAATTTATCACAGAATTCAGCACAACAATTTAAAAGTGTTGATCCGACAAGACCAAAACAGCAAAGTGGACAACAAGTTAAGATAAACCAACGCATGCTTAATACCCCAAACAAGGAGGAAACATTTTGGTACACGCTGGGACCCCTGTATTTTTATTTCAGGTTTCACACATTTCATTATCCAAAAGGCCACAATACCTCACACACATTCACCTGTTTTACATACAAAGTGTGGACATTCCTTTGTTCTCCTGTGGTTAAGGAAACTTGAGGAAAATGCTCCTTTTCCCCAACTAGGATAACTCCTTCGAGCTGGATTTTGATGAAAATTTCCTGGACTGTTCCTCTTCACTTTGCCACGGATAACCTTGACCCCAAAATGCCTCTGAAACTGTTTTTCAGAGAGGGGGAAACATTATGTGGAAGTGTGCGAGTCCACACTATGCCATCGCACCTTACATTATGTGGACTTCTTTTGTGCAGAGGTCCACACTATGTATGCCACGCCTGCAAACACACCCATGTTCACTTACCATAGTTCCAGAAGGTCCCTGAGGTTGCTGACCCCTGACCGGGACCAATCCAGGCCTACCTCCTGAGCCCACACTGCCGCCTGGCTGTCGGGGCCTTGTAACTGTTCCCCCTCCCCCTAGCGTGGGGATGGGCTGGGGTGCCGAGTCTACCAGAACCTGCTCGGGGAAGGTGGGAAGACTTGTGTGAAAGTCTGACAGGAGGAATATGGGGCTTGAAGCTGGGTCTGAAGGACGTACTCTGTAGTTTTGGGTTTCTCATTTTGCTGCTCATTCTGATCTTCCCAAATCTTCCAAGATCATCTTAGCAAAATGGAGGGATGTGAGTGACCGTTTAATAAAATTAAAGTTGAAAACAGCGAGCAAAACATGAAATGTAAGAAGTCCCCACATGTTTGTTTGTTTGTACACAGCAGATACACAAAAAAGCTGCAATTCAGCGTCAACATCTAAACAAAAAAAAAAGCTGAAATCAGCTAAAAAGCTGGATTTTCACACCTCTGAAAATGGGGATTTTGGAGGACTGAGGGTCTTTGGGGGTCAGACCATCAACAATTGTGCTGCATTGAGGGCACAAGAGAATTTGCCTTCAGGATTCAGGTCATGCGACTCAATCCGATCCTTGTCAATACTGAAGGATTGCGGGTACTGGCATGTTTAGCCAAAAGAAATGATTTTGGAAGATTCCGATTGTTTCTTACTCGACAAATGCACAATATCTCTGCACTGTGCACATCCAGAATACACGTAAAGGTATTGAAAAGCACACTTTAAGCACAATGCTAATCAGTCAGGGTTTAGTAGGAAGCCTGTGTATGGAGTGCCGAAGTCTGACACCACTGTGAGCTGGAAAATGGCAAACGAAGGGAGTGCGGGTATGTGTTGGGTCACACACTGGTTCTCGCTCTAATGCCTTAATACACAGAAGATTGTGCATGTGACGTCGTCACTTTGGTAGTCTATACCGAGGGTTTGATGTACACTTTGCCACTCTATTGTGAAGTTCATAATTTTTTACAGTACCTCCGAGTTAAGCTATATGTTTTTCCAGTGGAAGTGAACTAGCCAGTAAACCAATGGAAGATTTTGTGGGATCGAGGCAGTGGTACATGGTAAGATATCTTGGAGGACTGAACTTATCAGACAGGGAAACGTCGGGTAGGGAGTTCACTGACAGGTGCCACCCACCTTGACATTCTGGTGCTGATGCCAGGTTTGGTGTTGCTGATGCTGCTGTCCCCGAGGCCTGGGCTGTCGGGGGTGCGGCACGCCCTGCACTGCCCCTTGCGGCCTGGGCTGTGACACGGGTCTCTGGGCTCGGGGCCCGCCTGCCCACTGCTGCGGCGGCCCTTGTATCTGGGAGTTCGTCTGGGGGCTCTGCTGGGCGGTGGGCCTGTTGGCAGACGCTGCAGATGACAGGCAAGGAACAAGACTGAGATTGTGGGATGAAGTGAAATTCATGAAGTATCCAGCAGAAAGGTGAAAAACAATGACAACAAACTAATGTAACTTTTCAAGGCTTTATAACTCAAAAGGGACGATTTTTTTTAATGAATAATAGCAATCCCACTTCCGTTTCTTTTTAAGTAAAACTTGAGTGATTGAGGAACTAAAAATCGACAATTCTGGTTCAACCATCCTCATATCAAGACCAATTCTCACAGATCTCAGAAATAATTTCAAATTTTGAAAGATCTGCGACGGCATCGGACCAAAAAATTTTGCAGCTGCCTAAACTGGTCTCTGAACCCAAAATATCTCCACATTAACCCCAGAGATTTGTAACAACCCAATAATGAGGGCTGGCTAGCTTACTTGGTGAGATGCTCCGGTTACCGCCCTGGCCGACGCGCTGCTGTTGCTGCTGATGAGGGGAGGGTTGCCTGGGACTGGGCGTTTGTTGACCAGCTTGCGGTGGCTGTTGCTGCAGTTGTGGCGGAGGCTGTTGTGGTTGACTCGTGTCCTGCAAGGTCAAGAAATGCTCAGTCCAAGCTCCAGCATTGAGGTGATTAAAAAATACACAACTATTACTTGCTCTATCGAAAATGTCTTTTGTTTCTTCGGTTTTCACACCAGTGACGAGAGAAATTAACTCCAAGTCAGCTTAACGACTTAAAACAACTTTTGACAACCAAAAATCGATGTTCATTACCACCAATGCAATCTGAGGGCATAATTTCATCAAGCGGCTAAGCGGACAGTGCTACTTAGCGACTTTACAGGTTAAGCAAAAATCAGCCATGAACCTGCTAGAAGACATATAAATGGATGACAGTGGTCAACAACCTGATTTCGCTAAGTGAGAATTTTCTTCCCTCAACGAACATCTGTGCAGAAACTTTGGACCCTGGGTCTTGATCTCAACGTTATGTTTATACCTTAGCACCGACACCACGGTCCTGCTGCATGCTCTGTTTCTGGCTGGCCATGCGCTTCTTGAGCTCAGCCTGTTTGGCGGCGGCAAGCTGTTGGCGGCGCGCCTCCTTCCGCTGCAGGATCAGCTCCCGGAGCTTCTTCTGCTCCTCCAGCTGTAGGCGCAACTTCTTGGTTTCTGCATCTTCGTCGATCTACGAGCGTAAAAACCCCCAAGCATGTTGGCACATGGGTAGAGTTACGAGTGACATTCATGAATTTGTCAAAATCTGAACCACTCATGGATGTAATTCAAAGGTAACTTGAGGTTTACTCAAACCGTACACTACAAAACTTTGCTAAACCTCACAAAACCTCACTTTATTGTGTACTCTTCCCTAACAAGTGCAGCATGAAATTTGTTGCAAATTTACACAGGGCTGCTCTACTAAGAAAGTTGCTGGGCAAGGACAGGTTACCAGCCAAAAACTTACACTATGGACACTGTCAGTGACAGGTACTCTGCACTTCACACTAGCACACAAATATGCTAAGCACACCAGGAGAAGGGATTAAATAATGATGATAAAATACTGTGATTTGGGAAGCTTTTAATAAATAAGTCATGAGGTCTCTCATTAAATGACTGAACTGTAACACAGTGAAGCTTGCATCTGTTTTTGTACAATGACCAGAAAAAAATTACATCTCCAAAATGTCCAGCTTTGTGGAAAAAAAAAGCTGAGAAATCTTGGCAAATTGCAATCTTAGTGTAAAGAGCAATGTCAACTCTTAGGCATATAAATTAGGAAAATGACACATGAATGACACAGAAAGTTCTCTGTGTCACACAAAGGCAACAAGCTCTAAATGACTCTTGAACCAAACTCAACTGCATGCCAAAGTTTTCTTTAAAAAAATGGTTCCTCCACCCCCCCCAAATCAAGCTGTACCTCGCCCTCTGGTTGCGTAGGTGGGACCGCCTTTGACCCCTTCTTGGTGGCCTCCTCAATCAGTCGCTTCGGCGAGGGCAGGATCCGCCCCTTGTGGACGGGGTTCGGGGACGGAGACTGACCGCCCGGGGTCTGCTGCCGAGGCTGGGCAGATGGTTGCTGGGGAGACAGTTGCCGGGGTGATGGTTGTCGGGGCAACGGTGGCCGCTGGTTCTGAAATTGGTGATGGGGGCCGCCTTGTCTAAAAAAAAACAGAAAAAGATTTATGTCAGTAATGGCACACTGGCCGACTGACAACAGGCTCTTCACCAACAGTTTCTGCCCTGTCAACGTTCTCACCAACTTGATTGACAGCCCCAGTCAGCTTTAATGCAATATGCTCGTGCACTAAATGGAATTGAGCAGGCTCCCCCGAGACGGCCAGACTTTAATCTGGCCAGGCCATCTTAAGGCCTGACTCAGTAACACCTCTATTGCGCGGTAGTTCCAGGTTGACAAAAGGAAGATTTCGGGCTTGATTTCATGCTCTAGCTTTGCTTGGCTTTTCACTGGCGCAGCCACACTTACATTCTCAGGGCAGGAACTTCGTTCTTGATAGGGCAAGACAATTTCTCATTTGCAAAGGGCACTCGTGTTAGAAAATCAACTAGTCTATGGTGATATTTCGATGGGCATTGAGGCAAAGACCAGGGGCATCAGGGCAGTCGCCTCTGATTCCTCTGTGAAGTTCCTGCCCTGAATTTTCAGTTTCCCCCCGATGGAGAATCTCAGAGGCCATCTTGACTCGCAACAGGGTCTTTTTTTTTCAGCAGGACCTACTAAACCAAACACACTTTTTTGAGTACAGAAAAATGCTCCTAACAAGTAGAAATGTTAGGTACAAAAACTTGCAACTGGTTCTTGGCACACTTCTGCTTGATATATAAATTTCCTGTGTGAACATTTTCCGACTCCTTGCAGCCATATGCAAACTGGAGCTACTTGTATCCATTTGAAATCCTGCTGTGGACTCTTACCTCACAGTAGGGGGTCTCTGCTGCTGAAACCCTGGTCTGTGTTGGTGGGGTGGGGGACCCCTAATATGCTGAGGCTCCCCTGGCGGTCGCATCTGGTTTGGCTATAAATGAACAGTAAAAAAAAAAAAAAAAAATCCAGGGGTAATGAATCTTACACTTTAGCAAACATCGTCACTTTATATGGGAAAAAAAATCATGGTTAGATTTCATGGTCCCGTCTCAACACAAACTCCTACAAATCTATCACTTGGACAACTTTTGCTCCAAGTTTGACACCTGAGTTATTTGAGGCAAACTGCACGAACTGCATTTTGGAAAAAGTCTAAGAACTGGCCAGCTGACCGAAACACCTCCGTAGTTGCAGTGGTGAAATGATTGCGTGAGAATCTGCTTTGAGTTCAAGTCCAACTAGAGTCACCTTACGGAGGGTCTCCATTAAAAGCTCTCAGAAAGTATAAAGTACCTATTGTGCTATACCCACATCTCTTTGGGACAACATCTCCAAGTGCCCAACAAAGTTGTGTAAGATACTTTGAGTCAAAGACCCTAAACGAAAGTTTGAAGGACGGACACCGACGCACTCTCTGCGTAGAAGAGAGAGCGAGGAAAATGTTTCCGAACAATGACATCCCGCTGTCTGCATGTGACAAAAATACTAAGTTTGCCCTTTCTAGCCAAAAAAAAACAAGAAAAGACAGACACGAACAAGTGAAACACATGTCACCAATTTTACTGGATTGAACTTTGCATCGTTTGATTACATTAGAATGAAAAATACACATGGGTGTACATTTTTTTCCAAATTTAATGCACATTTGAACAATCTGTCTCCAATCTATTGGCTAGTGGCCACAATACCTGCATGCCCCTGGGTGGTGGCGGCTGTTGTGGCCGAAGCCCATGCTGGTCCGGATGGTGGGGTGGGGGGAAGCGCTCGTGGGGGGGTCGGGGACCGGTGAAGCCTGCCGGGTGCTGCTGGGGTGGCTGGTGGCCGTGGAACTCCGGTCCTATGCCAAGAGAAGTTAAAGAATGGGTGGAAAGGCTTGCGGTAGCACCATGCCAAGGAATATATCTCTTATGAGTATGTGTGGTTGCTGTCTTTCACCACGAACAGCCTGAAATTCCATCAGAAGTTGAGGAGCAGAGAAGTTTTCGGTGGGTCCGAGTTTGTTAGAGTCAAGTCTAGCCGCAAGTCACCTTAAAAGACCAGTTACAAGCAGCAACGACATGGATCACCCCAACAGCATGTGGCTTGGCTTGCGACTGGACAGTCTGTGATAGCCGATGGTCTCATGGACGTTTTGTTGGACTGTACGCACAATTTATTCTGCACACTTCTCACAATATCAGAGAGGTCTCAATTGAGAGAATAAGCTTTGGGGAATAGACAAAAACTGCCCAGGAAAGCACCAACAAATTTGAATTTTTCAATCTGCTCAAAATAAAACTCAGTTTATCTAAACAGAAACTTTGAAGAGAGTGCGAGAAGCAATGGAGCAAGGGACAAGAGATTTTCCACCCTGTCCGAATCCTGCATCTAAGGCTAGGTCTATGTCGCAGCCACTTGCGTATGCGTGGGCCCGTGCTGACAACAGACGCAGCTGTAGCTCTGGGAGCCCGTTTCTAAACTAATCTGACTTACTTGGCGGGCCCTGGTGCTGGTGGCTCCAGGTGACCGATACAGGGTCTGGTCTGCCGGGCTGGTGGGACCAACCGCCTGAGGGCTGGCACTGGCTGGCTGGTGGGGTCCAGGGCTCTGACTCCTGGGGTCGGTAGTGTGGATGCTGGGGACCCTGGGGGAGGGGAGGGGGACAGTAATGGAATTAAGCTGTGGCAAGCGCTGTGATACCTGATGGAAAATTATGGCTGGCTGTAACTTCTTTGTAAATTCTGAAACAACCTTTCTGAAAACAAAGCATGCATTTTTTTTTTACAGGTAGATGCTCATAATAATGAAAATAAGTATTTTGGCCAACCAACTTCACAGCGATTTTAGCACATGGTTACATATAAATCTGACACAAACAATAGATAAATTTTAGATCATCCCAGTGGCTGTTCCAATTGAAATAATTGCTTTCATTTTTTTGCTTACTGTGAAATGTCCATCACTAGTATTTTTGTCAGTATTTTAAGATAAAAACACCACATAAGAAAGTTTTGATTCAAATCAATTTTTAATCTCAGTATACGTATTTGCTCAATATTCCAATTGTGCATTAAATATTTGATGCATTTTTTTGTATCTACTGTAAGCAATTTAGTAAGCTGTTCAACTACATGTAATTGCATTCAAGGGTAAGAAATAAGTTTAAATTGATCCTCAAATGTTAAGGCCACATTCAAGAGTCTTTCCATCTGTTCAAACATCCAGATCTTGGAACGATTCTGGAATCAAAGATGAAGTCAAGCATGGAACAAGTTTTGCTCACCCTGTAACTGCCCCGCGGCGGCTGGTCTATGACAGGTGGCCCCTGCGGGTGTGACGATGGCTGCATGTGCATGTGCGTTGGGGGCTGTGGCTGGCCGAGCCCCTGGGGTGGGGGCGGCAGTGACTGTGGGGGCCCTGGCTGCTGGTGTGTCTGAGGTGGGTACGGGGGGCCGCCAGAAACCGGGTAGGATGACTCGGGGGGCTGGTAGGGGTGACCGTGGGAGCTGGCGGGGGGCTGGTACTGGGATTGAGGAGGGGGCCCCGTGTGGGAGACAAGGTGGGTGGGCGGGGGTGGCTCACCTACAAAGAGTAACAAACAACGTCACATGGCATGAAGGCACGGCAGAATTTGGCAGCAATCAGGATAGGAGCCTTGCCACTGAAATCTGCATGGGGCTTAATGTTTAATTTCAACCAAAACCCATGGGGCAGTTTTAAGGAGTTTTTGGAGAATTGAGGCTGTACGGCAAAAATTGCGTTACTGACTGTGAGGGATGCACAGTGTCAACGGTCTCAGGTTAGACCTTGTGTTATTCTAATGCTCCGCCATGCATTAAGTCAAGCCAAGATCAAACATGAAATCATCCATATTACTCCAGGATACCATGAGCACTGTCTCAACATAATGAGAGGAATTGACGGGGGATTTTGAAGGATTGAGGGTGTATCCTGGCCAATATGGCCCAGGGGTTAAGGTTAATGAGGCTCTGGAAGCCTCAAAACAAATTTCAGCTTGGACAAAAATTCTTTTCGTACCTACTTTCTGCCAGAAAAATGTGGAATAACTCACTCAACTTTTATTGTACATATGTTTCAGCTTGCGACTTTCTTACCTTTCTGAGATGGAACTTGCACCTGGCCTTTAAAATGAGGGTTAATGAGGATTGTCTTGCTTTTTGGGGCCTGCGACTGGGAACTGGCCGGGGGACCAGACTGACTTGGGTGCTGCTCTGGCGGTGCCTGGTTGGAAGTGACGATTGAACTCTGACTTTCCTGGAAGGATAAAATGGATGCTGTGGAGTCATGATTGGCATGTACGGGTTTGATGAGCCAAGCCAGAGGCACTGACAAACCTCAGTGTACTGGTTGGGAGGTACGGACTGAGAAACGAAGTGCATGATTAGTTCGCACCTAAGTAAAGGTGCCCTAAGTATTAATTTAAAGCACTTGGGCATGACATCAAGGAAAAGGACTTCAGTGTGGAAACAACTTGAAGTGGCCCTTGTGTGTCCAAATCAGTGGATTTTGAAAGCTTCCCAAGGCCAGAAGCTAAGAAAAAGATTCCTTCCATTCCAGTCATATTCTGCTGAATTTTTGTATCATTTTCAAAACACGAACAGGGAAGATTTACCCGTGTAGTTTTACAAGATTTCGATGGTAGATAAGTTTATGCAAATGTGTCAAATTGGTTTTTTTTCTGGGTATTTTAAGCACCTTAACAGAAGAAACAGCCTGTTCCAGTTTGAAGTTCATCATGTGTTCAGTGTCAATAATTTGGCTGGCTTACCTGAGGTGGCTGGCTCGTGCTAGATTGTTCCAGTCCTTGGACTGTTAGAGGAGATCCCCGACTGGGTTCCTCCTTGCCTGGGTGGTAGGGCTCAAAGTCAAACCGTCCCCCTCGAAAGTGGCCTGCCGGGGGCCCCCGGACCACCTCCACAGGGGACTGCAGGGCGCCCCCGAGGGGAGGCGGCTGAGGCAGACGCTGTGGCGGCAGCTCGGGCCCCCTGAATCCCGGGTGCATCTCCCGTCCCATCATGCAGGGTGGCGGGCCCTGGCCGTAGCGATTGCCGCGGTGGCCGCGGAAGCCCCTTCCCCCGCGGCCCCGGTGCCGCCGCATCTGTTGCTGCTCTTCCTTCTGGCGTGCAAACTCATCCACTGTCTGCTGGATTTCGGCTGTTATCTCTGATACATTTGGGGAAGGAAATGATGGCAAGAATTCAACATTCTAGAATGACTACAAACCTGTCTATGCACAGAAAGTGTTGGAGGCATCAAGAAGTGATCTGCACAGTTGTCTAGGTGCGGCACGACACAATAATGACAAGGCATACCAGACCTGGTTATTAGCTTAACCACTTCATGCCAGATGATGCGTACGAACAGAAAAGGATTTGCTGTTTTACAGCACAGAGTACGTTCAAACACATTCAGGCGAAAAGAAAGACTACACTTCACATTTTTGAATGGTTCCTTGCCGTGTTCAAGGAACTATTACCGAGTACCAACCGTAACTGGTCTACTCTGAAGGTGGTGCCAAGTGATGTATTTAACATGTACTTATCCCGTACCTAGTGTCGCGGGGATGTCCTTACGCTTGGTGGCGGTGCCCCCAACTTTGACAGTTGTGGAAGGCTGGCGCTCTGACTTAAATCGAGCCCTCGTGGTGTCATCGTCCTCGTCCTCATCTTCATCGCTGGACGGGATGTCCTCCTTGGTGTCCGAGCCCTCTTCCTCATCCTCCTGCCTGGTCTGGGAGGAAGTCTGTTCAAAATACACGACAAGATTCTTTATTTTGGCCTCTTTACTGCTAATTTTACACAGCACCAGCGACCTAAGGAACAGGACTGGACAGAGTCTTTTTCATGAGAGAAAGTTTAATTAAGTGAATCCTGCAACCGAGTGCTACAATGATCGTATGAACGTTGTCGTTACAGTAACAAATTGCCAACCTCCGAGGGCCAGTGCTTAACGGTCACCTTGACTATTTGTCGTCCAGATCTAGGTTCAGACTCAGTTGAACTGTGGTCGAAGGCGGCCCACCCACAGTAGCCATCGTATACTGTGGCAAAAAATATCTCACCTGATTGTCCAACTGGGACGAATGCTCTTCAGTTTCTTTGATGTCGCTCGCAGACTTTTCTCTGGCAGGGGCACTCGGCGTAGAGGTCACTGGACCGGCGACACTGCCCCTCACTATGTGATGTACACAATAAGGAGAGTAAGGGACCCGTCTGATGGCCTCCAAGGGTCAACAAGTGTTAAGTCCAACTCATGCACACAACTGTGGTTGTGACATCCCGTTGTTTTAAACAGTAAGTTTTTCAAGTGAATATAATACTGCACCTGAGACAAGTACAACACGGCATAAAACCATCAGCAAACGATTGAATTATGGGAGGGTTAAACTCCCCCAGCAACGCACCTGGCTTATCTTCAGGGGTATCTTCGATGAGGCTGTCGTCCAGGTCCTCGATGTCCAAGAGATCATCCATGCCAGGCTCCAGCTCAATTGCATCCTCTAACATTGCCACATCTTCATCTTCTACAGCCATCTGGTCGGGCATCGGCTCATCCTCGTACCTTTAAACCCAAACCAAACAAAAACTTGCACTAGTCACATTCTTGTCCAGAGCCTGAACAGCCAATAGAAGCCTGAGGATGCCTTCCTGAGGCCTGACGTGGGTCTACACTGACATCCCCGGAAGAAAGGTGTGAAAATGTATAAGTGGATCTGCAAGTGTGTCACATAAGCCCTTTTGTGAGGCACGGCGTCCTTTCATAGCCAGCAACCTACTACACCCAGCAAGAAATGAGACCGAGGGGTACCCCCCCAATATGTCCAATCCCTATACACATTCCAGACTATTGTTACTCAACACATCCCCCCGAGATGTCTGAAAGGAATTCCCCTGATTCCTGCGAGACAATGACCAACACAAAGCAGGAGGGGTTCTCTCCGTCTCATACCTTGCTGCATATGTAACCTACTGCGCAGCCCGTAGCTCTAGCTGACAGGCCTCAAACCATTCAGTGTATTCACGTGAGTGACTTCTGATCGGCAGGCAGGATACAGAAGCCAAAGCACGGACTTAGTTACAGTGAAGGTCTTTGCATGGGTGACAAGGTTCCACAAAATTAGTCATGTGACAGGTGAGATCTCGGGGAAGGGGGGTGGGAGAAGGGGTGTGATTCTAACCCATTCCAGAAACGCTAGCTCTTTTAGGGTTGATGAGTTACTGTAACAAACCATGTAGACAGCTCAAGTCTAACTGCTGTATGGTTAACCCTAACCCCCCAAGGGTTGCTGGACCTAACCATCCCCATTCACACAAAGTTAAACACCCATATGGGACTTTGTGCACAGAAGCTGTTGGACTTCGTTTTTCTGAGGTATGCCAAACCCAATTCAAAAGCCAGCTGTCTGGGCCTACCAGACCTATCCCCACAGAATTAAACACTTTACTTCTGTTCATTTCTGTGTGGTTGGGGAAGGTTACGGTTAAAGCACATTTCACAATCTTCACAACTGTCTCCATTAACCTCTGATTAAAGGAAAAAATCTGATTAAAACTCACCCTTCTTCATCGTAGGTTTCCAAGCCCCCTTCATAGGTGTCTCTGCCGTCATTATAGGTCTCCCCGCCCTCTTCCTCAAAATCCCCAGCTTCTTCATACGCCTCTTCAGCCCCTTCCTCATAGTCTCCGCTCGCCTCTCCATAGTCTCTGCCTATGTCTTCATAGTTGTCCCCGCCCTCGCCCTGGTACTCTTCCTGCAACTCACCGCCTGCATCTTCTCCTACCTCGCCCTGCGTATCGCCCCACTCGTCATCCTGGGTGGCGTCCAGCAGGCCAGAGTAGTCGACCGAGAGGTTGTCCTTCTGCCCAACTGCGAGGCCGGCATCCTCGCCCTCGTAATTGACTGTAGTCTCAGGGGCTGTCTGCTCACCAGTCTGTTCACGGGTATGGCTGTTGTCCCCACCATCAAAGTTCAACTCCCCCAGCTCCTCGTCACTGTCTTGGAGTAAGGCATCTTCATCAAGTTCACTTAATGACTGACCTCTCGTCTGGACGAAATAACCAAAGGGGAGACTCACCATATTTCAAAACTGTCACAGTGCACTCTGGCAATTTATTTAAATCTGAACAAAATACATGTACTGTCTCAATTTATATTTTCCAGTTAAAGAGACAGTTATATCAGGAAATTTCCTTTCATAAATATACACAGTCCCACATGTAGAACAAATGAAAACAACCTAAAATACAACTTATGATTAAACTTGTTACCAGATTAGTGTTAAAAAGTGGCAAAATTTTGAATTTCTCTAAACATGTTCCTGTACTTTTGGATTTGGTGGGTAGGTAGGTCATTTGAATGCAAATTTAAGGATGAACACATGATCTGGCCTAAAACCTTGCAAAATGCATCCTTCAAAGCAGTGTTGGAGTCAAGCTAATCACAAGTCCCTTCCCAAGGCCAGTCATAAGTAACAGGGTGAACAATGACAAAGGAATGCTTTTGTCACAGCCCATTTGAATAGCTTGTGAACTAGTTCAAGACAGAATGAGAGCCTCAATCCCCAAACTTCTCACAACCTCACTTGGGAGAATTTGGCAGACAAAGGATGGACACCATCAGGGTTATTTCTGTACCTTCTTGAGTGGGAGGTTGTCTTCCTGCAAGAGCTCATCATCGCTATCCCATGATGCCTCAGTAGGACGTTTTCTTTTGAATGAGTGATCATCCTCGTCAAACTTGTCGAATTCCAGGTCATCTATAACCAAGCCAGTGGGGACATAGTATTCAGAATGAAAAACTCAAAAGTAGAATTTTAAGGTGGTCATGCAGTGTAATTTTGTTCTAAATAGTTTTTGTAAATGTTCCTT